TTTTGGGGTAGTTTTTCCTCACACTTTCTGAGGCTTAAGGGCAGAGGATGTCGCACCTTGTTAAACCCAGTGAGACAAATTGTGATTTGTGAATATGTGCTGTACAAATGAAGTTTAGTTGAATGATTTTGCTCACCAGGAAATACAGTAGCAGGGACTCCCTAAGCTGCCCAAAATGCCTGTGTGAACCTTAACGTAACCATCAATTAACCTACTAATGTATTACAGTTGCTGCGCACATGAACATTTATAAAGTGAACACCATTGAGATTATGAATTAACAAAATAATAACCCCAAACTATTGCTGATTAAATGTGTTTTTTGTCTTTCTCTTTTTGATTGTTTGATAATTTGGGTTCCAGACATCACATGAGACATCCATTGCTTTTTGACGTCTTTCAGGCTCAATAATTGATTGACTTCTTTGCTAAATAGCTGAATATTAAGCTGTGAATTTGTTCAACAGCAGATCATATTTAAACATCTTATGAATCTGAGAGCAAGACATATTTTTAGACAAGCTCACAATCATTTATTTAGGACTGATGCATTAAAGATGAGCCACAATCATTAAATAAAACAGAAATACAGATTATTATCTCGCATAGGCAACTGAAGAAATGCGGTTTTTCAATGAGCAATGTGCTTTTATGTGTGCATCTATTTTTCATGTGCACTGATAACGTGTCTGTGTCTTGTTACCAGCTGTCTGCATGTTCGGTGGAAGGGAGCTGGTGGAGGCTGATCGGAAGGCTGTGCGCGACTCCTCTGGCCGGTGCCTGCTGTTTGAGTGCAGGGTGAGTCATGTCAACAGACACACACGCACACACTCACATAAAGAGTTAAAACACATTAGCATTCCAAAGGATTCCGATCACGATCCTCTCTAGAAAGAGACACCATAATAACTGATGTAACCAAGCACTCCAGCAGCTCTATCAATTTCCATGTTGAGGTGCATGACAGCTCGCTAAATACTCATTCCACAGCTACCTTGGCCCACCCTGGGAAATATAAATCAAGCCCCAGTGAGCCAGCATGCAAGACTGTCCACTTCTGCTGAATCTCATTGATCCGACTTGTCATTGTTACTGCCACAAAGGAGGTTATGTTGTCGTCTGCGTTTGTTTGTTTACCTCTTAGTCAGCAGGATTTCACAGAAACTACTGGACAGATTACCAAGAAACTTGGTGGAAGGATGTGCTATGGGTCAGGAGAGATCCTATTACATTTTGGTGCAGGGGCAAATCCAAGATTTATCTTTTTTTCACTTTCTTCAACATTGTGACATTTTTGTTGATTTCTCAGAGAATAATTTTGGGATCTTGATGAACTTAATATTTGGTGCAGATCCAGATAAAAATCATCTGAATCTAGTGAATTTAAATCTGGTTTCATGAGAGGACTGTTGGGTCTTATCGGAGGTATACGCACTCCACCGACAGCCATTCTATTTTTCTTTGTCATCTAAAGAAATGGGTTCAACCCCCTTCTCATTAAGTTTACATTTGGAGATCAGAGCAGTGAGCTTGTCAATCACAAGATGCCACAGCCATTCTTCAGCACCAATCATCAGACATCATGGGGGTCCCAAATCATATTTATTCCCCAATTATTCAGAGTGTGTGCTTTTGTCTGCCTGATGCACCAGATGGGTGGGTCGCTCACTTTTGGGAGTAATTCACTAGATGACATTACGCCAGGCAGGTCCAATCAATCACTGAAAAGTGATTTGAAGTTTTTAATCACCCAACACTGTTGTATCAAGCAGCTCTTCCATGAATTCTGCAAAGCTCCATTAGTATCTGCAGTTTCAGGCAGCCGTATGGCTCGCTTTCCCACACCTGGCCCATCTGTAGTCCCAGTTTACTGACTGGCATTCTGAGGCAGATCAAAGAAACAAGGATGGGGGGCTCTGTCAGACTGCCCGCTGCTGCACACTTCTGCAGGCTTCCCCTGACAGCTGCTTGTCACATCTCTGATCTCATGTCTGCCTGCTGGCTGCATGGGGGGTAGAAGTTTTTGGGGGGTGGGCAGTAAAAAGTCGATGGTGATGCTTGTAAGGAGGGCAGTTTTAGACCTTTTTCTTTTGAAAATGGTGTTTTCAAACTAAAGCTATCTCTCTCCTCACAAGCATTTTGTCTCTTTAACAGTTTTAATCCCCATCCATTCTAACACGCCTGAAAACACTTACAACAGGATCAATCATGTACACTGGGCATGCGTGTGCCTGCTTAAACCAGAATTGTTGCAGGTTGCTGGGATAATAAGTCATCTCTAACTGCTGGTAAACACGGCTAACGCCAGTTGTTTTGGCTGCTCTAAATCTCCTGCGCCAAGTTTATCCATAGCAGAGTTGATGCGTGTTCTAACAAAAATGTAGTAGTATGGATGTAGCCATAGGGGGAAGTTTGTTCTGTGATTCCATGTGAGCGTAGAGATCGTGACACCTCGTGGAGCTGAACAGATGAGTTTGAGCTTTTTCAAATATTTGTGCACCACAAATAAGATGGAGAAGGTCTATTGTTTTTGTCCAATTGTGTCTGGTGTTAATGTCTCTAAATTAGCATCAGTCATAGGGACATGGGTGAGATCATTAGAGAGACCTGCCAAAGGCATGCTGGGAAAAGGACCCCCCTAATTAGGTTTTACACTCTGACTAAACACACATGCAGGGATAATCCAGAAGATTGATTCACTGTTTGTATAATAAAGATGTGCCATGAATCACAATGCAAATCATTGAGGAAAACAGGAGGGAGGAAGAAGAAGAATGCCTTTTTTCTCTCTTCCTGTGAAGTAGTTTTGGGAAAAAAACCTGCTATTGACCATATGAGTAATTGGTCTGTAATGAAAACACAGGGAGGAGGGAAACTAGGAGAGCGAGGGAGGAAACAGGATAGATGAATAATTAGCTCCATAATTACATCCAAGCCCTTAGCGACCCAGAGGAGCCAGGGAGGAGCTCACAAGGATTTTGTCTCTGCTCATCACAGGACAGGACGATGCATCGAGTGGTCCCCAGTGAGCCTTGTCCTGAGCTCAACTGTCCAGAGTCGGAGCAGATCACCTTGACTGACAGATGCTGTAAAGTCTGCAGAGGTATGGAGGGAAACATCGGCCTATGCTGCGATGTGACTATACTACCCCAGCTAACATTATTACAAGGCAAATCAGAAGGACATGTACAGTGAGATTTAGACATAGTCAGAAATATTCATATCTGTTGTTATGATAGTTTTCAAATGGGCAACCTGTTATTATTGTATGAGCATTTATTTGATGGGAGCGTTCAAGAAAACAGATTTTTCTTTCTTTGTCATTGTGAAAGTAGAGCAAAGGTACGAAAAGCATCATCCTCATATCAAATTGTGCAACAAAAGTAAAATAATACAAATATAAGTAAGAAGTATAAAATACATTCCTTCAGTAAAATATGAATAGCAACTTGTTAATGATAATAATAATGACAATGCATTTTATTTCTATAAAGCTTTTCAAGAAAACTCAGATGCTTAAAGGATAAAAAGAGATTAAAGAGAATGACTAAAATACACACTAAATGAGGAAACCGGCCAAATTCTCATGACCCTTTTGCAATATTTTTATATTTTTCGATTTGTTTTGTGTAGGCAGGAACTCAATTAAATCTTAAAATCACAATAATACAATTAATGTGTAAGAAATGGGCTAAACATTTATGAACTAATCATTAGGCCACAGAAAGGATACTTATGCCGCAGTGACATAACCTTCCCAAACTCCCAGTATGCCTCCATCACTCGTCTCTTCTTCTCTCCTCTGGGTCTCAACCTTTTACTTTCCCATCCCTCCTGCAGGTCATGACTTTTGCTCAGAGGGCCATGGCTGCGTGGAGCATTCAGACTGTGTGAACCTGGAGGCAGGAGACTGCTGTGTTTGTAAGGATGGCTTCCGCCCACTTCGAGACGATAATGCCTACTGTGAAGGTAAGGCATGGCTCTGAATAACAAACCCTCTGACTTTTAGCTGAAGTTTATTTGCCCTCTAAGAGTGGATGTGTGGTTGTTTTCTTTCTGTCAATGTGCCTGGACCGTATGAAAGGGGTCATTAGGGGATCCTGTCCTTTGCTTCTGGGACATGGTGGTTTCAAGTTTGGGGTTATTTTTCTTGACAGAGGAAGAATTTACAGTTGTCGGTGTGATCTGACTTTTTGGTCTCAGCCTGATCTTATTCAGCTTTGTGAAATGAGCGCACAGCACATAACATATTCTGTGTGTAGCAGGCAGCACAGCAAGAAAACCTGAGAACCTGAGAATGTCTCTAAGTCAGCCTTGAACTCATGCATAGGGGATCACATTATTTGTGATTTCTTTGGATCTTTTATTATTTCAACAATTTAAAGTTTTTTCTGCCAGTTGTCTTGTTTCTGCAGGTTCTGCCATGGTTTCCTCACAGTCAGTATAATCATCATAGATGGAGATCTCACAAATTATGTTTAGCCTTTCAAAAATCAGTATTTGCTCACAAATAAAAGATCAGTCTATTATTGAAAATCAGATACAGGACAGCTTTCAACTATTTAATGCTGATGTTACATACTGATAATTCAAAGTGATAAAACTTGACGCAGACTGATTATTTTGTGTTATTCTTTGCACTATGCTCTTAGTTATTTAGTGAACAATGTGAAGCTGAGCCCACATAACATTATCTTTCACTTTTTTTAAATTCTGGAACAATACAGAAGGAAACTGCCCCAGACTTCCCTCAATAAAAAGTATACATTAGATTGAAAGATGCCACATTACTCTCTGCTGACTTGACACTTGCAAACTTAACATTACTGCCAAGTTTTTATATTTGGACAGTTATCATTAGTTTGTTTGAATTTTAAAACCATAAAATAGATGTTAAAAAAATGCAAATGCAAACACCTCATACTGCAAAACATAATGTAGACATTTCGCTGAATAACCATGACAACACTTTGTTGAATTCATTCTTTTATGGCATAATCCTTTTGTGATGGGAGCCTGTAATCCTCTCATTATTTTCAGAATGCATTTTGAGTGACTAATGTTTCCTTCTCTGTAAGTTGATTCATTTGTAATATAGAAAAACATGCTGAGGGCCTCAGCATCTGCATGTATCCAGTGTCACTGTGCTGTGGCAGCGATTAAACTCGTACCATCTATCATCAGCCAGGTCATTCATTACTGATTGCATACTGAGGTTGGGATGGCTCCAGCCTTGTTGCACTTAAAAGTAACACACAATGCAATTGATTATATCGGCGATGCAGTGACAATGTTTTAATGGATTGCCCGCTGCATGTCCCACATTAGATGATCGAAAAACATGCTCTGTGTCTTACTGAGCATTTTATGTTGATAGCAGTGGCCTGATTCAAACATTCACTCATGAAACTGATGGTGCTTCAGCTCAATTTGTCACCACACATCTTGGCTGAAGTATGGCTTAATTTAACCAGATGCATCATTAAAGCACGAGCGCAGTGCCTGTTCTAAACCTGCCTGTGTGGAATGGACTGTTTCCTGTGTTAGTGCCCTGGAGCTACTTCAGAATTCTTCCTCATCATTAGTGAGTCCTCTGCAAACAGTTCTACAATATACTGTCACTTTTTATAGTTTGTGTGCTGGACGTTGTGTGCAGAGCTTTTTATAAACAGTCTTTGGTGCAGAGAGAAGTTAGAAAAAACTTTGTGTTCATCCTACCTGGTTTATCTGCACTAAAGATTTTCAAGTCATGATATCATACTGAATTTGCTTTATTACTGTTGACGTGTTGGGTTTTATATGTATGTTTATTTATGATTTGCTGAAATGAATATAATACATTGCATGTCGGCAATATTAATTGACATAATCTTCAGAGGCAATTTATAGCACACATGCCAAGTGTGAAGCTGATTAGATGGTTCACGAGATGTGTTCAGAGACAGACGTACGCAGCATTAGTAGGTAGATGATGATCTCCAATGTTATCCTGTAGCATGCAGTGAACATAAAGTCATAGCTGTTCATCTCGGGTATTAATGAGCAAACGTGGCTTCAAAGATATTCAGTTTCTTCTGCTTATGACCTTGATACTGTCAGTACACCGTCTTCTTGATCTTCCTTTTTCATTGTCAGTACAGCATCTGTTTGTGAGTACAAGACTTGGCCTATTTTTATCGACACTCCACACACTCCCCATAATATATTTCCTGGCACTTTCAACAAGTTGAGGCTAAAGAGTCAGTGGTGCGACCGGGTGTTTTTTGTTACCGTAATCAAGCTGCTGAATGAAACAGTGGTAGTTCACAACTTCTGTAGATCTTGCATTACTTTACAGATGGGAGCAGTTGTCCAGATAATGAGGCTTAAGGAATCTGCGTGATTAAAGATGCTATCTGTCTCAATTTAATGGGATGTGATGCTGTGGGCTGTAGTTTGTGATCAAACGGACATTAACCGTGAATAGCCGTGGTCTCTTTGAAAACATAATTCAGTCACTGGTGGAAAGTGATTAACATTTAATTAAGCCGATGAGACTAAAGTAGAATTCAGAGGCACTTGTACACAAGTATTTCTCTTTGGCACTACATGTCAAATATATTAATATGTACGTAATATGCTCACATTTTTTATAAAGAATTTTAAATGGCGAATACACTCGAAATATGGAAATGTACAAAGCCACATGTTCTGATGATGTGTCCCTACTCAGCTCTATAGTAAACTGAATACCTTTGTAATTAAAGTGATATAAAAATTTCTTATTGGGCTCTGTAAATTGTAATGGGTATATTTCACTGTTATACTTGTTTTATATTATAGACCAAACATCTTTTAATCAATTTGCAAAGGAAAAGCAAATTATTTGATTATAAAAATAATCATTTCTTACATCCCTACTGACCATCAATCAAGCGGAGCAGAGAATTTAGCAGCTAAATAGCCGTAAAATGGTGGAGACCAAAACTGAGCTAAAAAAGCCACGAATATTTCTCTGTTTGCTGAATGTGTTGCTGAAATGACTACCTTATGAAGTAGTTGTGTGTAATGCACTGCTCCCAAGTGGCCTAAAGAAAAAAATCTAATCATAACTGTACTTCTCTTCTAATGTTTTTGGTTTATTTTGACCCCCAGTTTATTGAGAGTGGGAAGAAGACCATTCAAATTCTTTGGCAATAGCTTTAAACACCCATTTAATTCAAGTGTAGACTCTTAATTGGTCTGAAGTCATGGCTACATTTTTGTTACGCTCACACGTTAACATTTTAAAACCAACCAAAAACTATCTTCTTAGATTTTTGTTTCATTTTTATAGCTGGTGAAATATCGAAGCTGCCCAAAAGCTTTCAGCAGTTCATTGTTGTAGGAATCAGGATGAAGCTGACCATCCCATCACTAGTGAGAGAATAAGTACAAGCTGACAGACTTTGGCTTCCAATATCAACACTTCAGCCCCAGACTATTCCTCTCAAGAGCAACCTGACTCACTATGAAATTGGATGGCGGTGTTTGTGGTAAGTGTTTGCATCAGAGACGACAGAGAGAAAGCTGAAATTGACTCAATTTGCTGATGGAGTTCTCTCAAATGCAATTGATTTTCTGTGTGTCTCTTTAACTCACTTACTATATATATGATTGTGTGTGTGTGTGTGTGTGTGTGTGTGTGGAAAATGAAAGAACACTGTAGCCAAAACACTGAGGATCCCACAGATGGATGAGCGAATGCTTGTGTTCATATGATAGGTAAACCAATTTTCTGCTGCAAGGAGATGCACGGAGAGAGATGAGTGAAATCGTGCGCTTTCAATTCTAGATGAGTTTCAACGCAGGTGGTGCCTGTGAGAGAAGATGAGACTTCCAACTTACAGGAAATGTTGTGTATTGAACACAGCAGGGAGATGATAAAAAGACACAGGCACACACTCGAACATTTAAAAAAAAAATGTTAGACACTTTCACACACATTTTTTTGTCGGTCTTGTCAAACGTAAAGACAAACATCACACAAAGCTGAGACGGATACTAGCTCTTTAAAACATTCCTAGGTCAGAGATGGGCTCAAAATAGCCGATGAGATCACTTCTGTGTAAATTTTTCATAGAAGCAGCAGTAGGGAAAACTCAGGGGGATACTAGGCCTGTCTTTGTGTAAGTCTGTGTGTGCGTGCAGGTGCATATCTGTAATGTGTGTTTGAGTTCTCAGAGAACCGTTTCTTTCCCTCTATCCTCTCCTTACAGTGCCATCAGGCTGAAGGCCTGTTTTGCAACATGCATGCATGTGTTTAGGGCAGAATTAGACAGAGGGGCGAGCAATGGAGAAGTGACAGACTGTGTGATTGTCTCTAAATTGAACAATCAGTATAGTTCAACGTGTTGAGATAATACCATTATTCATCTCAGCATTGTAGAGGACTGCAGGCAGGAAGACATTTCCCATTGTTGTCTGGTTTTCTGGAATGCCCTACTTTAGAAATTGCTCAAAAAGACGGACTGTTGTGGGGTTTTTTGTCTCATCCTTGTGGGAAATGTGAAATATAGGATGGTACTCTGGATAATAGAGGAAATAGAAGGTGACAAAGGAGGCAACAGGATTTTACTTTTATGTGAAGTATATCCTCGAAAGTGTTATTTTACTAACTCATTTTATTTATCAGGGACATTATAATATTGGTTATGATTCATGTGTACAACAATCAGGCAAATGCATAGATAGATAGTGATTAATCATTAGATTGCGATCTTGGAGCCCATCGGCTATTATCTGACTTCGAATTAAACTTTGGGGGCAACGGCCAATATTTCGGTGCTGGTGGTGTAGACAGATATCTGGGTCAGGGCTCTGTCTATCGTTCCCATTCCACTGTTTACAGTCAAATGTTTTTCCACTCGGAACACGAACAGTGATACTTTTTGTAGGGATTCAAGATCCAGACATAATTGTTACTAATCTATAATAACAGCTATTTGAAT